CTGGCTGGGGAATTCTGGGAGTTGAAGTCCACACATCTGAAAGCTGCCAAGGTTGAGAAATTGGGCTAGAATAGCAGAATCTCACAAGTCTGATTGTGCTGACCTCCTTCTCCTTCTTATACTCTTGTGAATCAGGGAGGTGTCTGCCTGAGCTTCTTCTGAATGTTATCTTGTTGTTTTGGACTTAAAAAATATTTCAGCCCCTTTTGCCTAGGAAACAGTTTAGCACTTTTCCATCGAGGTCATCTTCCTTACTCTCTGCATGCACACATGGATCTAAAAAGGCTGGTGCAGTTCACAGAGATGGGCCTTCATGCGAAGCCCCTGGGTCTCTGAGGACAATGATAGCTGCGTTTCTCCAAACACTCAGCCCCCACCCAAGTCTTCTCAACCTAGTAGTTTACTCCAAGTTGCATCTGGAGAGTGCTCAAGTGGGGAAAGTGTGTTACTATGTCAAGAAGGCCACCAGTTCCTCAAATAGGAGGGGTGTATTTTTGATGGCCATGCACAAGAGATAAACATGGAGGACTTCAGAGCATAGGTCTGTATGGAGACCAGAGAAGCCCATGGTGTCTTCCCAAGTGTTCCTGGATAGTGTTTCTGCAGAGGCATCCACAGGATCTCACATTTTTGTCAAAAGACAAAAGCAGAGTTGCACATTCACCATGCAAGTCCTGCACCCCTTTGTTCACACACATGGTGTCACAATGCACCTACAAAAAGGTGGGGCTTGCATCACATGGTGGACCACTGGCATTTAGTTGTGTCTTGTATCTGGTGTACCAAACCCCAGAAGGGGTGTTCCAGGGAGGGACCAATGTCCTTTCAGGGTCAACATCAATATGGCTAGACATCATCTCCAGAGGTGCACTGACCCGGGGAGTGGTTAATTAATTGCCAAGCTGATTGCATAAATTGAATCCCAGGGACCGGGTGACAAGATCAGAACAGTTGACCTGCCCTTGTTTCCCCAGATTTCTATCAGGGGTGGAAGCACGTTTCTCAGCCTATTGTGGGAAGTTGCCCCTGACACTCCCCCCATGTTCTCCTGAGATGTGGAAAGGAATCCTAGAATGGAGCACATCGAGTACCAACAGAAATGGAAGTTTTATCTCTATGCACTTGGATTTTGCAACTTGTTTTAGGTCCAGTGAAGAGAATAATAGTTAAAATATCTCTCCACAAAGTCTATAGACCATCAGGCCACACATTTAGGGGGGTTCTGCCCCCCTAACTAGGATCAATCTTCCAGAATATCAAACTTACTATGCAAGCCACAGGTTTACTCCTCCTTGTGTTTTCTGGGTCTCACGAACCTCTGAAATAATACGCTAACACCTTGGGAGCTTTGAACAGACCAATAGGCAGTGGATGGTCTCATTTCATCCCAGGTCACAATTCTCATGTTTCAGCTGAGATGTGGTTGAAGATGAGGAGGTGTTTGAAAGGGGAGGGCAAATTTCAGGAAGAAATTTCAACTTTCAACTTTCTGTCAATTTCATCCTGTAGCATTTATCTAAACCAGTGTTTCTCAACCTTGGCAACTTGAAGATGGGTGGACTTCAACTCCCAGAATTGCTGGCTGGGGAATTCTGGGAGTTGAAATCCACCCATCTTCAAGTTGCCAAGGTTGAGAAACACTGATCTAAACACTAGTCTAAACTAATATCAGCAGGAGCTTTATTTGACCATTGTCAAAACCAAGAACAAACTCCAGTACCAAAGTCCCCTCTGTCACTATTTGCAAATGGGGTAACTGGCCAGGAACGTTGGATGTTCAGTGATCATTGGATGTTCTCTGTCTTCTTCTAGATCCATGAAGGTGTGAGGCCAATGGACATCTGGCTGTATATTTCAGTTTTTCCAGTTGTCGGCAAATAGGGTCTTTGGGAACTCTAACAAAATTCCCCAAAGAATCACTCCTATATGCAATATTTATTCTCTGCCTCTTTTTCTTGCTTGTCCCTGAACTGAGGGAAGAACAAGGACCAACTAGGCTGAAGAGGTGATTCCTTTTACTCTCTTAAAAGTTCTGCTCGTGGTTGGTCCCAGAAGCACTTGATATGGTAGATGGAAAAGGATTGGCAAGGGAGAGAGACACATCTTCCAAAAATGAGAAGAGCCCCAGTGATGAGCTCAATACAAATCCAGGTGAATCCTACTGGAGAGGAATTACATCTGGGACAACATTACAGAGGTCCTTCATTCTCTTCCATCAAAGATGGGACTTGGGAGGAAGATACCCTGATTGAATTTCAGCAACACTGGGATACACAATAATCGTAGGTCCTAGAGACAGAATAGTTGATCCTTAGGGAATCATTGGAGAGCATTTCCAGTGCCTTGGAAGGGAAGCATTTGAGGTGAATGTTCTGCTCCTGCCAAGGTTCTCAGATATAGTTGAGAGGACGGAAAGTCAGGGCAGAAATGCAGCTACAGGGAGATCTTCAGGAATGATGATCAAAAAGAATGAGACTTTCAGTGTGGTGTTTCTTCTCCACCTCTCTTCTGGATTCCTTATTCTAGCATCTCAGGAGGCTTTCAAAAGTCCCCAGAGAAGGCTCAGAAGCATTGCTGGGGAAGGATTCAAAAGTCTCTCCATTAGTTTTATTTTCCTAAGCTTGATAGCTTTTATTTATTACTATTTATTGGGCCTTAGAGTCACCTCCACTGTGCCAAACAGCTAGGTTTCCAGCCAACATCTCCTGATTCAGAGATAGCCTAGAATGTGTATAAGAGGTCACACTTCAGCATCATCTCTGGGTGGTCCTTTGGAGGTGATGAGGAGGTCCTCACCACCACCAAGACCACCACGGTCTACCTGCCCTTTTCTAGCAATCCAGATCTCACTTTCTTTCTTAGATTTCATAATCCAAACTTCTCACATCCAACTGGAAATACTTCTAAACCATGAGGCTACAGTCCCAACCTTTCTCCTTGAAGTCTGCATGATGCATTGAGCCTTTAAGTTCCAAGGCTTCCAACCAGCATAGGCAGTGATCATGCTGGCTGGGAATTATGGGACATATGGTTCTCAAGGTAACAGGAGGGTCACAGCTATAGTCTCATTCATAAAGCTCATTCAAACAGAAATAATAAACCTGTATCTTGACTTCCTTCCTGATAAAGGGGCAGGTACAGAGAAGACTCTACTCAAACAGGAGGTCATGTTCACCAACAGTGCTTACCCAGGAGATTAGATACTTTGCAGCAGTATTCGTACAATATGTGAACCATGATGTAAAAAAAAGTTGTTTTAATGTGTTGTACACAACCCCCCAAAATGGGCTAATTCCATCATCACTTTCCATGCGTTGTGTCAACCCAA